CCAGCCCCAGCCCCAGTCTCCAAAGCGAGGTGCTGTGTGATGCAGCTTGGAGGGTGTCTCCAAGCAGAATTTGGGACGACAGGGCAGGGAGCAGAGTTCTAGAATCTCCCATCTCCCGCACGCTGAGCTCCTTTCCGAGCCGGGCGGGGGGGGGGGGCGATCACAGTTCCCTCTGACCCCCAAGCTGCCTGCTGAGGCCCCAGGAGTCTGCGCAGGCGCTGTGGTGACTCAGCCGCAGGGACACGCAGCCAATAACCGTGCTTCGCGATGAGGTAATGCCCGGAACCGCGTCCTGATTGGTCTCTGCCAGGCCACAGGCTTGTCCTTCAGGGCGGGACTCGCTGCTTTGCAGAGGGGGCTACGTGGAACTCTCCAGAAAGGAGCGCTTCTTATTTTCAAGGTGTGAATTTCTGAGACCAGGTCTCCGGTAGCCCAGGCTAGCCTCGGGCGCACTGTAGAGCCCAGGCTTGCCTGGTACCCCTGATATTCCTGTCTTCGCCTCCCTCGGTGTGCTGGATAACACGTGAACCCTTATGCAGCACCTACTGTGTGCCAGCTCACCACCCGTGCTGCCACGCCCTACACATTTATCGAACGCCTATGGTGTGCCAACTTGCCACCTACGTGGGATGCGGTGCCCAAACTGCCAAGTGCGCATTTTATTTTATAATTTTTGTTATCTTTGTGTTTAAAATTAGTTTACTTTGCACTTTATCCTATTTTAAAATTTTATTATTTATTGGGGCTGGGAGTATGTGTGTCACCTCCCACTTGTGGCAGTCAAAGGTCTCTCCTTCCACCTTGTCACGGGATCGAACTCAGGTCGTCAGGATTTGCGCACTGAACCATCTTGCCAGCCTTCATTTTATTTTTTAAATGACTTTCAATTATTTCTAATTTTAGTTTTCAATGTATTTTTCTTTACTTTCATTTCATTTTGAAATGAACTCACTTTCCCACCGTAGGCCAGGCTGACCTTGAACTTATCACAATCATCCTGCCTCAGTTTTTCCGGTGTGTGGAACACAGATGTAAGTCGCCATGGAGGCCAGGGTAGGCAAAGTGGAAGATCGGACCTCTTCTAAGGTTCAAAATTTTAGGAAGCAGCGAATCTCATGGGGCTAATCCTGAGGTTTGTCTCATGTTGGGACTGTGATGTAGGGGTGGGACCCCGGGCCCTGCTGGACAATCTCTGGTCTCTGACTCTGGGCTAGCCTGGCCTTCAAGTTCATTCATCCCTTTACTTTTTGGGTCTTTCTGACTTTGTTTTTGTTTTGAGACAGGGTTTTCTTGTATAGATCAGGCTGGCCTGGAACTCAGAACTCACCCTGCCTCTGTCTCACAAATGCTGAGATCAAAGGTGTGGCCAACCTTGCTGTTTTTTGAGGCAGGAAGTCACACAGCCAGGCTAACCTTGAAGTCTCCACGCAGCACCGGTGACTCAGCCCCACGACCCTCCAGTGGTGTCCTAGAGCTCCAGAGCCCTCTGCCCACTCAGGGACACAAAGACATGGGGCCAGAAGGCATTCGCATCCTGGAACTGGTGCAGCACTGGAGACCCAGCGCACATCCTCGAGACTCAGGAAAGCACCGGAGACCCGGTGCAGTACCCTCAGGACCCAGTGCAGCACCCTGAGACTCAGTGCAGCACCCTCAGGACTCGGTGCAGCACCCTCGGGACCCGGTGCAACACCCTGAGACTCAGTGCAGCACCCTCGAGACCAGTGCAGCACCCTGAGACCCGGTGCAGCACCCTGAGACCCGGTGTAGCACCCTGAGACTCGGTGCAGCACCCTCGAGACCAGTGCAGCACCCTGAGACTTAGGAAAGCACCTGAGACTCAGGAAAGCACCGGAGACCCAGTGCAGCACCCTAGACTCTGCCTAGGACCCGTAAGTCTCTGTAAAACTTCATTCCTTTTTGACAGCTACATCATATTCCGACGCATGGGCAGAGCTGAGGTTGGGTGGGGTAGACTCGTGCACACGGTGTTGTGGGAGCAGCCTCTGGGGTTTCACTTGTGAGGAAACTACCCCGGGCTGCATCGCAGTTAAGGCAGGATTTAAGATTCAGTTAGATCGAACAGTTGCAAATGTTCAGAGCCGCTGTGGAGGGAGAGAGACAGAGACTGAGAGACTCCCGGGTCCTCTGAGGACCTTTGCACAAACCCCGGGATGCCAGTCAAGATAGGCAATGATCCCCGTAGCTTGCCAACTGCCTGCCCCACCACGGTGCCCGCACACAGTAGGTTCTCAATAAAGACTCAAAAACACAATGCAAACTGCGAATTCCTGGAACAAGAGGAAAAACACGCCCGCGTGTCTGCGCTGCCCTCCGTAGTGCAGATAGAGATATTAGGGGAGGAAGATCGGCGAGCCCCCCGCCCCCCTTTAATTATCCTGTTGACAAGACTCAGGATCCCGCTCGTCAAGGTGGCATCTGAGAGGACGGTTCCCTTTAGCGACGCTGACAGCTAATTTGTGGGAAGTTTAATTACAGGCGGCGTTAATTAACTGGCAAAGCGCTGGGCGAGGACGGCGGCCATCTGTTCCGAAGATGTCCTCTCCTTCTGGGCCTGGCTGGGGCTGGGGGGAGCGCGGGAGGAGGGGAGAGGGGAGGAGAAGGGAGGAGTGGGAGGAGAAGAGGTGGGTGCGGAAGAAGGAGCGGAGGACGGATGACGAAGAGGAAGGGGGTCTCCCGCGCAGGGGGTCCGCAGAGGAAGCAGAGGGGTCGGGGTGAGTGCGTGCTTGGCCTTCGCCGAAGCTAACTCGATTCGGAAGGGGTGAGACACCGTTAACCACCTCTGAGCCCACCCTGGTCTTAGGACCTTTGCACGCGGCGTGCGCCCAGACCCCCGGGGCCCGCAGCCCTGGTTCTCCTTAGCCTTGCACTCCAGCCTGGGGATCCCTGAGTCTGAAATCCGAGGTCCCCGCCTCCCTGCACAGACCGAGTCCCGGTAGCCTTGACACTTAGTTCAAATCCGGCTCCCTTCTGCCTCTGTGCCCCTGCTACAGCAGCAGGTTGGGAGACTCAGTTTCCCTTTCGGATAAGGGTGTCTCGGGGTCCCGAACGAACGATGCCCGAGCCCCGACGGATGCCCATGGTCCCAGCCAGCGCCGGGTCACCGCGGCCAGCACGCTCGGCAAAGCCTCAGTTTCCCCCTTTGCCCCTCCTCAGGAGAACACAGATGACACCGCCTGGCCGGGCAGGAAGGGGCCCCCGCCGGAGCGGGGGTGGGGAGCTGGCACGGGCGCCCCAGCAGCTGGGACTCTTGGCAGCCGATGGCAGCCGGAGGCGGCTGGACACGCGCCCGGGCTCGGGTGGGGGACAGAGAGGCTGCGACAAAATGGGGGACCCCACTCACAGGAGGAAGGGAATCCCGTGTGCACTTACCAGGCGCCTGCTGGAGGCGGCGGCCACCGCTCATCCCCAGCCTCCAGGACCGCGGCCTTGTACCACCGCGGGCCTTCAGTACTCACTTAGTCAACAGATGCTGGCCGCTCACCCAGGCCTTTGCACATGCAGTGAAAAATCAGCCATCTTCAGACTTGTGAGGCAGACGTACTGTTGAGGCCATTTTACGGATGGTAAAACTGAGCTCAGGGAGGCGAAACAAAGAAGTAGATTGTCTGGCCTCAGGACGCAGTTATTCAAAAAGCCCCTCCGCTCTGCCCCTCACCCACGTGCCCTGGGGCAGGACTGGGAGGGGCTATGCTGGGACTTGGGGACAAGGTTACGTTGGGGCGGAGTAGGACAGGGCGTGGCTATTCTAGGGGCGGGTCCTGGGCGGCTGAATTCCCCAGCGCGGCGCGGGAAAGCGGGAGCCCTCCAGATTCAAACAGACTTTATTTAAACCCCCACACCCCCTTCCCGCGTCAGTTGGGGTCAGGAGGTCTCGGGGGTCACTTCTGACGGCTCCACGTTCTCGGGCGTCCCCAGGGACGTGGTGCTGCTGCAGCGACGGCAGGGGACTGTCCGGGCTAGCAGCTCGAGCCTGCGGGAACGCAGCCGGGCCTGAATGGCCCAGATGGGGGGACGGTGTCCGGGCAGGGGTGGGTCGTCGCCGCCCACGCTGCTGTTCGTGGAGCCGTCGTGCGTGCTGGCCACCGACTGCTTGCACAGGGGGCACAAGCGGCGCGGAGCGCGCAAGAACCAGGGGTCGATACAGCGGCAGTGGTACACATGCGCGCACGGCAGGATCTTGAGCCGCTCGCCCTCTTCGTACTCGTCCAGGCAAATGGCGCACAGGTCGCTGAGGCGCGTGAACGTGCGCACCTGGGCCTTCTGGCACGTCTGCGTCTTCACCGTGGTGCCCCGGCTCCCCCAACCCCGGACACGCGGCCACAGTTGCCTCAGCACGAACAGCGTGGACGCGGCTAGGGCCAGGGCTCGAGCGAGCGCCCAGGATGCGGCCACGGCGGGGTAACACTCGGGGTCTGGACAGGGTCCCCCGTGGGGCAGCAGCACGCGCGCTGGCCGATCGCACCGCACGGTCACCTCCAGGTCGTCGAACGCGCGCAGCTGCCCCGGGGCCTCAGTGCGCGCGGGAGGTGCTGTGACTCCAGTCCTCCGCGCGCGCCGCCCCGTGCGCTCCCACGTGCAGCCCAGGGGCCGGACCAGCACGAGTGGGTCCAGCGAGAGGTTATCGGGCCCAGGAGCCTCGATCGCGAGGCAGGCGTTGGCCGGCCTGGCAGCCAGCAAGTAACTGCGTGCGCCCTGGGGGTCCAAGGAGACCCCAAGCAGCGCCGGGAGCTCCGAAAAGTCCACGGAGCTCAGGTTAACCTGCGCGTTCGCGGACGACGGGGACAGAACCAGCCAGAGGGCCACCAGGGCTACTCGGGCCCACGCCGACCACGCCATGGCCGTCCCTACCTCCAGCTGTCGCGCGCCGCCAAGTCCCGCGTGGGACGGCACGGGAGCCCTTCGGGCATCTCCGGAGCCACCCGGGGAACCCGTGGCCGGGTGGGAGCGGCGCCCGCTGTGGCCGGACGCAGGGCCTCAAGCGGAAGTGGCTCCTGGGGACAGCGCGGTCCACATGGTGTCCAGGAGACCTGCTCTGAGGATGACACCTCGGGGTTCTAGAAGCCTCCGACCTCTGTGGCGTCATTGTCACGTATGCCCAAGAACACTCAGCTGTGCGGACTCCTAGTTGGTGGCGCATTCCCAGAGAAGTCCAGGACATGGGTCCCATGGGACATCCATTCTTGGAAGTGGGAACCGAATTTCACTCAGCATCCGAACACAAGGATAGAGTTCAGGGTGCAGGAAAGGGCTCCAAAAGGGATTCTGGGGGATTCCCTGCTCTTCCGTCCCCAGCGCAGCTGTGCAGACAGACACCCCAGGGAGGGGAACTTTGTCGCCCACTCTCCAGGCCCCATGTCAGCCCCAGGCTTGTGCTGTGGCCACGGGAACTCAAGGCTCTGATTCGCTGAACTTTGCTCAATGTCGCACCCCAAAAAACAATCCAGGATGATAGGAGCTTGTATTTTGGTGAGGGGTTACACCTTCCCACTCACACAGAGACTGTGAAGGAGCTCCCACTCTGGGGACCTTAGAGATGGAGCCGGATCCGCTCTCCGGCTTTGGTAGCGGCAAGTCGTCTCCATTGTCACCTTGGAGAGCGCATGCTGCCTCAGTTGAGGACTATTCTAGAAGGGAGATCTTCAAGAAAACTGAAACTACAATGTGTTGCCTTCTGCCTCCCTCCAGCCCGAGAACCGGTTCCTCCGCCTACTGTGCCACCCTCGGGAAGACCGGCCCCTCTGGCCCTGGCTCTCTTGTCCCCTTTGGTGACATCTACCTCGTCCTCCCTCCGTTCTGGGCATAGCAGAGAGGGGTACTGGGACAGGCCTCATGATCAGCTGTGACTGAAGATCGCAGGCAGGGGCGTACACGGGACTGACCCCTTTCAGCACTCCCGGCCCGGCCCGTTGGCAGGTCTGTGATGGAGCCTGACGCGGTCTGATTATAAAGAGGAAAGGTCGGTGCTTCTGTGTAGTTGGTCATTTGCTGTTTTCTTGTTTTTGTGGGACAGGGTTCAGGCTGTCCAGGAACTCACTATGTAGCCAGGTTGACCCAGAACTCACAGCAATCCTTCTGCCTCTGCCTCCCAAGTGCTGGGATTAAAGGCATGGCCACTAGGCTGGGTTTTCCCTGGTTCATAGCGTCACAAGATCCGACTCAGAGGTGGGGGGAAACGAGAGAGAGAGAGAGACAGAGACAGAGACAGAGAGAGACAGAGAGAAAGTAGTGGGGCACACCTGTCACTTCAGCACACAGGAATCTGAGGCAGGGGCATTGCCTGGAATTCAAAGCCAGCGTGTAAGATATCAGAGAGAAACAGAGAGACAAGGGAAAGAGGAATCTGGGGTCCCTCAAACCCCTTCTCAAGTACACCCCCAACCCAGAGCCCTCCCTCCAGGCCCCGCCCCTTTAAGGCTCCACCTTAAATAATTCCCCCCTCCCCCGCCCACCCAGCCTCCAGCACCTGGGTTCTTTGCCTGCAGGTGCCCACGTGACTCCGGGGTGGGCGGGGTCCCATCTCTCCCAAGAGGCGGCCAAAGGTTTCCAGGTGCCTCAGGCCTCACCCGCCACATCGCTGAGAGCCCTTATTGAGGTCCGGGGCCTGCACCATGACACCTGTAAATCACGGTCTCATTGCTGTCTGAACTCTGTAACCCAGGCTCGCCTTGAAGTCACGGCAATTCTCCTGCCTCACACTCCAGCACACTTAGTACCGGCTGAGACTGATCTTGGAGGCCCTGGCCCTGTCCCTCCAGCCCCACCCCTTTTCCAAGACAGATCATTGGCCGGGCTGCCCTGCAATGCCCAGGGACCTCAACAGTTCCCGGGAGGCCACAAGGCCTGTCCCTCAGACAGGAAGAATGCAGGAATGGTGGAAAACTGAGACAGTATCAGCAGAGGGACCGGATCCCTCAGGTGAGGACACACTGTTCTCGGGAACTGTGAATTCGGCCTGTGCAAAGATCCTGGGGTCCAGCCGGCCACAACCATGAAAAGGGCACAGAATTGCTTGCATGCCAGCCCTGGGAGGGTTAAGGCAGGAGGATCGCTATGAGTTCCAGACCTGTCTGGTCTGCAGATGGAGACCCTGTCTTAAAAGAAAAAAATCAGGGGACTTGCTGGTGAAGCGGGACACAGCTGCTTGGCCATCTGGCCGCCCGGCTGCGATGCGGGGGGGGGGGGGCGCCATCCCAGCACTATTTCCTGTAAGTTTAAAATTATTTCACAACAGAACACTTATAAATGCAGAAATCTTTGGAGAAAAAAAACCTGGGGAAAAGCAGCTGGAGAGGAGGGCGAAGATATTAGATAGACTGGAAGTGGGGAGAGCAGAGGACGCGGCTGTCAATCAGAGGAAAAGGTCGGGGAGTCACAGAAGTAACATCGCCTTTACCTGTTCTATTGGCCGGAAGCAAATCCACTCCAGCTCACACTCACGGGGAGGGGGACACAGGAACTGGGGGCTAAGGAGCCACCGTGGGGTCTCCAGGTAAAAGGAGGACACGACTTCCAATGGACCTTGGCCCTGAGGGGTGTCTAGGCGGGAAGACAGGACGGAAGGAGGGAGACCGAGGGACTGGAGGGGGGGCGTAGGAGCCGGGAGAGACTTTGAGTCTATACTCTATGGGTGGCCACCCTTCCCCCAGTCACAATAAAGACCAAACGAGGAGTCTTCCACGTGTAGCACAGATGTTCTCAGGCCTTCGGACATTGGCAGGGCAGAACTCCGTACGGAGGAGTCCCCAAGATGCTGTTCCCAAGCATAAAATGGGTGTGGGGTGACCTGCCATCTACGCAGCTGAGGGACATCCACCTCCTGATACTTAACAGAGAAGTAAGAAACTGGGAAGGCTCAGAGTGAGACCCAGACACAGCCGCAGGACCACAGTCCACGGAAACCGGGTATAAGAGCACTCGGGAGGCTGAGCCAGGAGGAGCAGGCGTTCTGGTCACCCTGGTCCCCCTGCCCCTGAGTGCTTATGTGCTTCATGGCTTTTCCATCTACTCCCAGTGAGATGTGATTATCTCCCTTGGCCAAGGTGGTTCTGGTTAGGAGGTCAGATTTAAATACAGGGCCACGCAGGGTTCCTCCACAATATCTTTATGTACAAGCTGAGCTTTGCAGCCCAAGCGACCCAGAGTCTTCCCCCACCTATGGGTGCTGGGAATGAGATGAAGCTTTGGCAGAGCCACACCCCCAGCCCCTCACTGGGGGATTCCAGGCGGGGCTCCACCCTGATCACGCCCCCAGCACCTCACTGGGGGATTCTAGGAGGACCTTCACCCTGACCACGCCCCCGTCCCTCACTGGGGGACTCTGGGCGGAGGGGTCCATCTCTGACCACACCCCCAGCCCCGGGAAAAGCTGCCAGAGGATTGGGGTCAGCTGCTCTCAGAACAAAGCTGGAGGAAGCGCTCTTCCCCTCCCCCACCAAGACCCTCTGGGAAAGGCGCCAATTAAGAGCAAATCAATTAAGCAAACTGTGCTTTGGCTTTGCCCTTAGCACTCTGCCCTCGGTCTCTCTGACTGGAAGCAAACCCATTTGTGGTCAGAACTGAGGCGGGATCAGGACTTTCCAGGCAGGGCTCACTGGCCCCAGGAACATGGAGTCAGTTGATCCAACCGAGAGTGGAGGGGGAACCCGTGAGCCAGCACCGTGGAGGACCCTGTCTGTTCCTGAGGACCAGTTACAATGTGACAGGAGTGTGCGCGGAACTGTGGGAAAAGAAGGCTATAATTTGCCCATTTTACACGCCAATCAAGTGCCCGAAGTTGCTGTAGCTTTTGTGGCATGCTGTCTGGGCGATTTGGTATTTAAAAAAGAAAAGATGAAAATTCAAGCTCACGGTGTGCAGCTCAAAACACACAGTTGTCTCTCCCCAAGACCTCTGCAGGGAGTCTGGACACAGCAGACTCAGGAGAAGTGAGTCCCTGGATCCAACCATTCCTGAAGTCACTATGCGTGGGACTCCCCAACTGCAACCTAGGCATTAACGTGCATAGCTTTGGTGTGGCAATTATATGGCACAGATATATCCAAGGACAGTGACAGTGCCCACATTCCAGTGAGGTCCAGATGGCCTGAGGCCATGGGAACAAGGGCAGGCTCAGGATTGCCTGCCAGAGATGTGGGAGGCGTTTGTTACCCAGCAGGAGCTGATTATTACATGCACACAACCTAAGACTGCCTTTCCTGGCTTCTGAGATTAGTTGGATTACAAGGGGCTTCAGGACTGGATGTGGTCAACAGGAAATGACCTGTCACTTGTGTGTCATAGTCCTGGAGTCAGCTGCTGTGAGCTAGACCAAAGCTACATGGTCTAGCTCACAGCACCTGCCAATGTGGGTGAGAAGGGAACCTGTGCTGTAAGGCTTAGAAATATGGGCCGGATTGTTACAGCAGCAAAACTAAGCTGGTACTAACTGGAGATGAGATCTTGCTCTGTGGCTCAAGCTGACTCAGGATGAGTAATCCTCCTGCCTCAATCTTCTGATGTCAGGATGACACACAGACACTAGCACAGCACGGCAGCCATGATGTAAGTCTCCGAGTACCACACGCCTCACCACAGTGACAAGCTATGTAGAACTAGCTTCATTTTACAGAAGTCAAATTTGGGGTTCCAAAGAAGGGACTCCCCCAGAATCACTCTTGATTCCCAGCTGGACGCCCTCTGTCCCAAGGTCTGGAGCCAGCACCTGGCACCCTTGCCACCAGTCCAAACTCAGACTACCCTAGAAGCCCACGGACTCCCAGATGCCCTGGTCCCTGGCCCAGCTCCAGGAGAACCTGTTTGGTAAAAGTCTTATCACGTGCCCCGCATCAACGCCAGGATGACTGCTGAGCCCTTGACTTGGGTAATTAGAAGCGTTCTGGGACGCCCTGCTTGATTAAAAGCACATCGTCCCTTCAGAATAAAAATTCGGGAGCAAATTGCTTTTGTTGCCACCATGATGCTATTTTAAACCCGCTCTGCTCGTGGACTAATAAAGCCTGTCACTCGACTGTCACAGCGCGCCCTGGACCAGCCATTTGCATGGCTCCTACATGGCTGTCGACTGCCACCGCTGTCCTCGGCATCACCACAGCCTGGGGAGGTCCTGTCAGGCTGTCACTCCCGGAGAGGACCTCACCGGCCTCAAGGTGACCCTAAGAAACCCTGGGACTGCAGAGACAGCTAGGTGGAGGAAGTGCTCGGCATGCAGGTGTGAGGCCCAGAGTTCGAATCACCGGCACCCACGTTTTAAAAAGGCAAACGTGGTGAGGTGCACTGTGTGATCCCAGTGCTGCCAACGGAGTCGGGCATCCTGGGGGCTCCCTGGCTAGCTAAATTGACCAACTTGGTGGCTGCCATGCTGTTAGACCTTGTCTCAAAAAACAGGTGACTAACAACTTAGGAGGACACCAGATGATGACATCAGGTTTGTGGTCCCAGTCAAGGATACCCCATGTATCAGTGATCCCCAAGTCATAGTCTGAGTCCTCCCTCATACCCAGTCTTTGTCTCCACCTGCTTGCGTCCTTCCTTCATCTGTGCTCTCTCCTTACACCTCCCCGCCCATGTACCCCACAGCAACTAGTTCTCACACTCATCGCGCTGCAACCTGTGTCTGGACACCAACTCCACTCCCAACTCACTTTGCATGCTACAACTCAGAATTCTCAGAGACTCTGTGATGCCGTTAACTGCCTGTGCTGTTCATACCTCCTTCCAAGCCAGATGTGAAGACAGGGGAAGCAGGATCGAAGCGCTCTGTTCACAGAGGTGTGACCAGAGTCAGCACTGATGTCAAGGACGTAGGGGAACATACTGATGGATGGATGAAGGGTGGAAAGATAAGTGGATTGGGGGTGAATAGGTGAGTGAATGGATTGGTGAGTGTGTGCCTGGCTGGAAAGGTGGCTGGGTGGGTGAGTATGTGAGTGTGTGGATGGGTGAATGGATGAGGGCTTCGGAAAGGTAAG